TATTCTACATTTTGTGTAACTGATGCGGGATGGATGCAAACTCTGGATAGAAGAGTCAAATCATCTTTTGTTCTGTAAAACTGATTGGTTGCTATCCAACATTCTCTCCTGGTAAATCTTAACTTTTTCTTTTGGAGTCTATTTCTAGAAATAAAATAATCAGTTATTCCCTCAGGCTCCATGATGGCTTAGCTTCTGGGGCCTCTCTTAGGTACAGAGGAGTAAACCAAGGTTAAAGGGACCTGCCAGCAGCCTGATTCTTTTATTTGACTGGAAGTGCCTTGGCTCTAAGCTTTCCTTTTTTATAGCTTCTTGGTCTTTAGTCATCAGATGAGGACACTAACTGTTATGGGACTCAGTTCTACCACTTAAGACTTGGCTTGGTGTTGCAGTCTCCAGCATGGCAAATTGTTGGATGGTGACGTTTAGGCAACAGAATATGCTTTGAGTGTTGTTTTCAGATGTATTAGAAGATAGTTGAATCTTCACTGGGATGTCCAAGAACCGTGTACCTGTCTGACATGTTGCTGAGTAGCAAAAGAGCAGCAGAAGCTTTATGTAGGGCAGTGTCATAAAAACAATTTATTTAATGGATTACTCTTATAAGGAGTTAGGAGCACTGTTAGGTGTAGAAGAGGTTTCTTGTGCACAAACTTCTGTCTGGGCTTTTTTCTCTTTGTTGCTGTTACCACAGATCTGTACCTGCTTTCCAATAATGGGGGCCAGGGAGATGGCTCAGTAGAATAAGCGCTTGAGGGTCTGAGTTCAATCCCCAGTTCCAAAAAAAAAAAAAAAGAATCCAATAATGAATGAATTTTCTTGCATGAAAAGGCATTGAATGCACTGTTAGCACTGGTTGGAATTTATGCAAATAACATAGTTTTTATTTTTCTTTTAACTTCTTAACATAATTTCATACTTCCTAGAAAGTTGTAAGAATTCACATACATGTTTCATTGATCCCGCAAATGTTAACATTTGCTTTATCCTGCTCTCCTTTTTTAAAATCAGTATACCAAATATAATGCATTTATGTTTAAATATGTACATACACAGTGTATTTTATGTTTCCTGAAATGCTTGAGAATGAATTGTAATCATTCCTAAATACTTCAGTGTATCTTTCCTTAAAAACAAGGACACTTTTTGCCAAATCTGGAGCATAGGCAGATAATCCCATTACTCATTAGGCCAAGGCCAGAAGAGAGCTAGTTCAAACCCAGTCTGGGCAACCTAACCATTTAGGATTAAAAATACAAAAAAGGCTGGGGATACAGCTCATTGTGAAGGCCCTGTGTTTAATTCCCACTGTCGAAAAACAAAAACAAGAACATTTTCTTAAATAACATAACAATATTAAAAAATCAGAAATGAACATTGATTCACTGCTCTTAGCTGATCTCCAGACTCTACTCATATCTGGCAATCATCTTTACAATGTTCCTTGTAGTGAAAGAAAACCTCAGATCAGGTGTCACATTCAGTTGTCATATTTTTTAACATCTGGAACAGTTCCTTGGTCCTTTTTATGGCATTGGCATTTTTGAAACTTACAGGCTAGCTATTAAATAGTACATTCTTCCCTGGCTGTTTTGATCAGGGTGTGCAGAGCTTCATTTTCCCAAACTATTGAGCTCTCCAATTAAGAGAGAGAGAATAAGGGGAGGGAGTGTGTTGGTTACTTTTCTTTGGTTACTGAGACAAAGTACCTGATGCCCAAAATCAAGGAAGGAAAGGTTTGTTTAGTTCACAGTTTGTGGAGGTTTCAGTCTATAATCAGCTGGCTCGAAGGCAGGGTGGCACGGCACAGGGGCAACAGTTGAAGGCTGCAGAAGACAGCAAAAGCAACAAGAGCAAAAGGGAAGAACAAGCCTTTTTTCTTCCCTTATATTGTAAACAGGCTAGCCCCCTCCCCCAAGGTATAGCACCCACACCATCTTCATGCTCTTCTCTTACACAGGATGAGGTTTACAAAGAGAAGACCCTGACTCCTTGCTGAGTCTTGAACTTCTGAAATTGATAATATGTCAACCGTAACAACCCATCATCAGTTTGTCAACCGGACACATTTATTTAGAGGTTCCCAAGTACAAAGACATGCTTATTCTTAATATTTCACAACTTGAACATTTTAGTAGTTTTAACAGTACTTGGGGCCAGGGAGATGGATGGCTCAGAATAAGTACTTGCCTGGCAAGTGCAAGGGCCTGAGTTCAATTCCCCAGTTCTGCCAAAAAACCCCAACAAAAACAGTCCTTAATAACCAGTATAATTCTTGACCAGGGAGAGCTTAGTGGAATAAGTGCTTGCCTAGAAAGCACAAGGTCATGTGTTTGATCCCTTGTACTACCAAAAAAAAAAGCAGCACAACTCTTATCAACATTATTTTACATTAGAATCATCCTAAAGGGTTGGGTGGCTCCATTGCTGTAGCATTTCTGATGGTTGAAGCTCCTGTGGCTTCTCGCTCAGGCTTGCTTTGCTCCCTCACAGCTTTGCTTAGACAATCCCTGTTCCTGGCTTTTCTAAACTTTTGGGGTCTCTAGTGCACCTTTGGCTTCACCTGCACAGCTTCACACACTGCCCTTGCAGGGCCGCACTGCCTGGCCTTCTAGGCCTTCAGAAATCAGGGTGGAAGCCTTCTTAACCCCACAGCTCTTGCATATGTACCTAAAATCACCACATGGACAATGCCAAGGTTGGCTGCCAGCTGCAGCAGTAGCCAGGCTTTCCTTTCTCTTGGCTGTGGGGGTCTAGTGCCTGGATCATTGGGCAGTCTGAATCCAACACTGAGGAACAAATTTTCCATGCTGATGCCATTCTAGAACTCTGTGGCTTCCTCCTCAAAGCAAAGTCTTTTACCATTACAGTTTGAGACTGCAAGGGTGAAGACTTGCTGCTGCTTTGATGCTCTCAAGCCACCTTTTTCCTACTGATTAAGATTTCCACAGTTATATCTTTGTAGTCCACAGCTTTACTAGAGCTTTCCTTCTGGCCAGACTCACATTGGATAAAAGTTATTTATCACTCAGATAAAAGTTATTTATCTGGGCTCTCTCTGGTTTTGATTCTCAACATTAATCTGGTTGAAAGCCCCCAACAATAGTCATGCCACTGCCTTGAAATTTCTTCCAGATTATTAGTCTGCTGCCCTTAATTTTAGTCTTGTGCGGTCTCTGGACACAAGTAAAATGCAGACGAACTTTCTGCCAAGCCATAACACACATGTTCTGGAGTCCAGCAGTCAATGCTGTTTTTTTTCCCAGCAGAAACCTTTGAGCCTCGTCTTCATTGACTCAATTTCAGTTGGCCTCTGCTCTTCTGAGCTCTTGTCCAGAATTTACCATACAGAAGAGCCTAAGGCATTCTAGGTCTACTTTATCAGGTGACAGCTCTGTACCTTTCCCATCTCTTTTCACAAGCTGTTTCAAAAGGCTCTTGAATCACATGGTCAGGTGTGTCACAGCAAGAGCAAAAAGTAAGGCAAAGACGTTCCTGAGTAGAGATGGGGAAGAGACACAATGGCCAGACCTACTCTTCTGAAAATCCTGGCAGTGTGGAGAATAGGCATTACTTTGGTAGCTGAGTTGCAAGGATGTACCAAGAGTGCTGTCCCTCTGTTGAGCACCATATCATAGGTGACTCAGGAGCTATTTGTAGTTGTCCAGAGCTGTATGTATCTCAGAGACCAGCCAAGGGGGATTTCTTCAGTGTCATGTTCTCTTCTCTCCCAAACAGACTTTTTTATTTGTTTTTTCCAAACAGACTTTTTAAATCTTGTTTTATTCATAGCAACTGGCCCTCTTGTGTGCTATTGTAATAGTGTCTTCTAGTAGAATACTTCTTTTCCTTAATTACGTTTTTCCTCTTAGCCACACTTGGGAACAAAAGTGCAGTGGTGAACAATGTGGCATGCAGTTGGACTACCCAGATTTGATTCCTGTCCCTGTTCTACTGTTAGCTGTGATCTTGGGCAAATAGCTCTACTCTGCTGATTCTACTGCATAGAGATTTTGTGAGGAATAAATATGACTTGATACTAACTAAAAATTCAGAAATAATAAAAATAACATTTACCAAGTGCTTACTATATGTCAGTCAGTGTTCTTTTTTGGGGGGGTACCAGGGATTGAACTCAGGATCTTGCGCTTGCCAGACAGTTATTCCATTGAGCTATCTCCCCACCCCAGTCAGTCACTGTTGTAAGTGCCTTATAAAGCATATTTGCATGTGATATACTTATTTTTTCAGAACTACCTTTATTCCTATTCTTTAGCCTGTTTAAAACAGGAAATTATTTGTTATGCAAATATTTCTAATTAAGGTCTTTAATTTTTCTATCCAGCAGATCATTAGCTTAATTTTTGGTACTCCTATATCAGATCAGTTTTTCGTTTTGCTGATCCAACATCTCTTTCTTTAGGAATGGGATCTGTTGGGAAATATTACTGGCTCAGTGCTGATTTCAGATTCTAAATATTGAGGAAATAGGAGTGGCGACAGGAAATGGGAACCAGCAGCTGGGAAACAAGTTTGTAACTTGATGTCAGTGAACTGGTCTTCACTTCTGGAAGACAAAATTACATGTAACTCATTGAGGGGAAGCAGGTGTCTCACCATTTTATTTCAGTTTTTCCATTTGTGAGTCCACAATATACAGCTGTTCGGAGCTATAACATTTTCCACTTGGCAGCTGTCTAGTAAGCTAGCATTTTATTTTTAAAGTATGACATGAGTGTTCTCATTTTTTAAAGTGCCTTAGATGTATAACTACTTAGAGATCTTGACACATAAGATGCATAAGTAAGTTGTTTAATTCAATGTTTAAGATTTTTATAGGCACGCCCATTTTATCTCTATTTTCTCTTTAAGCATGCTCTGTTAATGCAGCGTACAAGATGGAATGCAGGCCATATAATTGGCTTATGTTGTTTTAAAGTTGTACTTATTATGTTAACTTTAAAAGGAGTCTCACTTCTGATTACTCTTGTGTATTTAAGCCAGTGAAGAAAAAGAAGATAAAACGAGAGGTTAAAATTCTGGAGAATCTTCGTGGTGGAACAAATATCATTAAGCTGATTGACACTGTAAAGGACCCTGTGGTAGGTGCCTGGTGGCTGGTGGACTCGGGGTAGTGGGGAGGGGTTTAAGACAGAGATCCTCAAGTAACAATGCGCAGTGGGGATGATGGCATTTGTATGTACTGCCTAGTGGTGTTCAAACCAGACAGAAATCAAGATGGCCCATTGATAAGGTAGGCACCACCACTTTTGTGGAATCTAAACATATATACAGGAAAAAAACGCATCCCACGCTGGCTATCTCATTGTTTTGATTTAGTTCACAGATGTTTGCTGTATGACTCCCCTAGGCCCCTGCTTTTAACTCAGTTTTGAAACCTTATTACTGCCAGTTTCCATTATCTTACCTCACTGAAGAGTAAGCCTGACATTTGACAGTCTGGGTTGATAAAAGGAAATGCTGAGTGTCTCCACATAGAGAGCTGAGCAGGTCACAGGCCCACCAAGCCTGGTAAGGAAGATGGCTTCCTGTTTCTCATACCAGTCTCTAATTCCCATCCACCATAAGATGTGATGTATCACTGTGTGTATAAATACAGTGAAAATTATTTTTTTACACATAAAATATTTTGTTAAAATCCTTAGTTTTTAGTCTTTTCAGATGTGTTGTTGTGCCACTTTGTACCACTTTTTTGTTTCTGTTCTCTTCCTGCTCTACTTAAGGTGTTTGCTTGTCTCTGTGATAGTTTTAGTTTTTTTAATTTAAGCATTAGGACTTGCTGCTGTCTGCTAGAGGTACACCATGATATGGTGCCTAATGTGCATGGAGTCCTTAGTACAGATCAGGCACTGTTTTTAATATTGAGCTGTGTCATATCACCTACTCCTCAAAACAGCCTAGAGAGCTGTTGTCTACATGGTGCAGTAAAGAAACTAAATTCTGCAAAGGTTAAGTGATTTGCCCAAGAGTACACAGTATTGTTGAAAAATAAGGAAAGGTTTTTCTTTTGGACCTTGGAAAGACTGAGAAGGAATGGTTGTATGCCATATTATATCTGGTTATCATTAAAAATATATCACGTCCTACTTCGGCACAGATTGATTTAATAATGACTGAGTCTTGACTGCCTGATGTTTGAAACTGGCCTTATTTTTAAAAAATAAGTTTTCCCCTTTTGAAAAAGAATGCCATATGTAAAAGTACTAATTTGAGAAGATTTTTTAAGTTATGAGCCAGTACCTCTGGTAGAATATAAGGAACATCTTCACATTGCTGTAACAGTTTAGTGATACCTTACTGTTTTTGTAATTTGTTAAAATATAGCCGTGGGCTGGCCAGATAGCTCAGTGGATTAGGCAGATGCAGGAACCAGGGTTCAATCCCCAGGGTAGAGAGCAATTGAGACTGGGCTTGGTGGCACACACCTTTAATCCCAGTACTTGGGAGGCTGAAAACAGGAGGATCACTATGAGTCTGATCTGTGTAGTGAGACCCTGTAGACCCTATCCTAATTATATTTAAAAATACGTATATAATAGCCGAGTGTGGTGGCACATGCCCATAATCCTAATGCTTGGGAGGCTGAGGCAAGAGGTTCACTTTAATTTTGAGGCCAGCCAGGGCTACATAACGAGATCCTGTTTAAAAAAAAAAAAAAAGTTTTTAAATATATGTATATTTCCTGATATGTAAGACAATTAAATTGAAGTAGGTGAAATTAACAGGGAATCCTTGTCCTCTGTGTTTGAAGGGCTCAGGCTCACGTGAGAGCCTGTAGAGGTACCTGGTCTGGATGAAAGCTTAGCAGTTTGTGGCCAGGAAAGAATCCTTTGTTCGTGCTGCTACCAGGTTTTCCTCTTAGACCCAGCATTGCTCTGTCTAAGGCTACGTGTGTGCTGTGGCCTGTTTCTTAGGTAACTTTAACTTTGTCCTTGGACAAAAGTTACCAGCAATAAAGATTTCCAAGGTGATTTCTTTTTAAAGTGTATAATGGTTTAAGCTTCTGGTTTTCTCCCAATTTTGAAAGCTTGTAACTGCCAGTTTGTGCTACTTTTTTTCACTTATGGAAACCTGACATTTAAAAGTCTGGATTTCCAGAGGAAATATTGAATATGTTGTACTCATTAAAGATTAGAGTACTTTCTAAAAATTCATTATATATGATTTTGGGGGAATATGTTTGCCTTTGTAGGACAAAGTATTTTTTAATGGTCTCTAACCAAGGCAGTAATGTAACAATGTAATCTATTGATAATTTCACAGATAATTATGTTTTCTTCTTACACCCTGAAAAGACTATATTCATTTCCCAAGACTAGCAAAAATTCTGTCAAATGCATCTTGCTTGCTAAACCTAGATGAAAATGTCACTCTGTTTGTCTTTGGCACACTGGAACACTATAGGGTATAAACCATTCCTATAACCATTAACCATTCAGCCAAGGCCATTGGTAGACTTTGCAGAGAATACTTCCTTTTTAAACAGTGACAGAAAAAACTTCATTGATAAAAATTTCAGCCATTTACAGAGGCAAAGTGAATACTATAATGAACCTCTTGTACATGTCACTCAACTTCAGCATAGCTAATCAGCTTATGGCCAGCAGTCTTCCATCTATGCCCCTACCCATTTCCTCTACCTCCTGCCATTTCCAGTTATTTTGAAGCAAATTCCAAACGTCATAAAACTTCAAGAAAAAACTTTCGGGTCATTCTTCCATCTTGTAGGACTTGGGGATGCAGCATCAAGACAGAGGCAGTTCACATTTATTACTGTCTGAATACCTAAAAAGCATTAATATTCTCTCTTGCAGTCAAAGACACCTGCTTTGGTATTTGAATATATCAATAATACAGATTTTAAGGTGCGTATAATTTTCCTTTCTGGTGTGGGATTGAAGGAGGGTGGAAAAGTGATGCTGAGTATTGTTGAAACTCGAGAGCACAGGGAGACTAGGAATGTCACTGGTGAAAGTAGGAAATAACAAGTTTCATGAGTGCAGGATAAAGAAAATAGCTGAAGTTCTAGCGCATAGTGAAGTTAATTTTTTTACCCTTTCTTGACCCTTTGCTCTGCGTGTTCTAGTAGGAGCTGTTCAGCTAGGTCTAAGCTAATACCTTATCTGTAGCACTCTTGTTTTAGACAACATAGCTAGATGGGTAGTAACTGGTTTTCATAAGAAATCTTACATTGCCATTAAGAGGGGATAAACTGATGTAGGGCTTGTCCAAAGCAAACAGTGTATTAGACTGGAGCTACCAAATAATGATATATATTTAAAAATTTGTTATATATGCTTTTGGGGGAATATGTTTGCCTTTGTAGGGCAGTGTATTTTTTAATGGACTCTAACCATAGTTTCACAATGTGGCCTGTGGATAATTTCACAAATAATTATGTTTTCTTCCTACACCCTGGAGAGACCTGTATTCAGTTCCTGAGACTAACAACAATTCTACCAAATGATTGATACTCAGATATTGAGTGTATGTTCATATAAACTGAAGAAAGCAGGTGACACCAAAAACCTAGTTAAGCATTACTGCTTTAGAAGAGTCCTGTTATATACCCCTATGTGTTTTTTCTTACATTTTTTAAAATGTGTATTATTTGGGGCTGGTGAGATGGCTCAGTGGTCTAAAGCACCTACTTAGAACAAGCTAAGCTAAGCAAAAAGCACAGAGACCACCGTTCAATCCCCAGCACCACATGCCAGCCAGCCCTGCCCCCTGGTGGGCTGAACTGGCCACACACACACTAAATAAATAAATGTTATAAAAAAAAATGTATATTATTTGAGACTTTGAATTTTTTTAAAAGCATGGTTTTAAACTTTTCTCATACCCTGAAACTTTAACTTGTGATAAGTTTTTTGGAGTTCATACTGGTAGAAACCCTTTCTTAGAGCACAGATTTAAAAATGAAATAATGTTGGTTTTCGGGGGCATTCGAAGGATGTTTAGGTGGTTGTAAGTCTGGCAGTGAATTAGACTTGTGATTTTGTTCTCATAGAAACTGGATATAAAATCAAATCTCTGGTTAAACATGCTAGTATCAAAAGTGATGCTTTGGGTGAAAATAAAAGATCCTTGTCCCAAGTTTGTCTTAGGTAATCACTCTAAGTACGTGACAGATATTCCTGCTAATATGCCTCCTTACAGGTGAAGTAATAAGCTTTTTTTTTTTTTTTTAAGTAATAAGCTTTTAAAAGTGAAATATAAAAAAAGGTGAGATTTAAATGTTTTCATGCAGTAATGTAGTGCTGATTAGCAGGTAGGGCTCAGTACCACGTAGCTGATCCTGTGAAATCAGCCAGATTTATCAAGGCACACATACATAAATGAGAGCTAGATAGGCTTTCATAAAACCAATTATTTTCCTAATGCAAAAGATTAAAAGATAACCAGGTGTGGTGGCACACACCTGTCATCCCGGCATTCAGGAGGCTGAGACAGAAAGATTGCCATGAGTTCAAGGCCCAGTCTGTGCTACATAGTGAATTCAGGGTTAGCCTGAACTACATAGTGAGACCCAGTAATAAAAAAAAGGTTAAAGAATAGTATTAATGGAATATCACAGTGCAGTTGCCTCTGGCACATACGTGTAATCCCAGCTACTTGAGGGGAGGGGAAGCAGGAGGACCACAAATTTGAACCTAGCTTGGGATCATAGGAAGACCATAAAGTGTAGTGAGGCAACTAAAAAAAAAAAAAAAAACTTCTATTGCTGATTACTAATTTTGTTTGCTAGTCTGTAATAACTTCTCTTTTGTCACAGGTTTTAAATACCTGTGCTATGTTGGTCTGATGTCAAATTTTACTTCAGCAGTTTATGTTTCATAAAAGTGGCACATGCCCAGTTGAATAACAAGCTGCAGTCAGTTGGCAGAAATTTGGATTCCCTGGGAAAATCTCACTCCTCTGGCATCTTAACCCTCAAAGGAATATTTTAAAGATGTACATTCTCTAAAAGCATTCTTCAGAGGGACAGATTGTGAAAGTCAGTGTTTTTGAGGCTTGCAACATCAAAAACATCTTTATCTCACCTTCCCAATTTATGTATTTGCTGTGGAATAGAATTCTAAGTTACAGTTCATAATTTTCTCAGTTTTGAAAAGATTGTTTCAGTACTACCATTCCAATCTCATTTTACGTGATTTTGTGCCCTTTTTTTCTGGAAGCTTTTCAGATTTTCTCTTCATTCCTATCTTCTAAAATTTCACAATGATGTGCTTTCCTATTGGTCTCTTTCATCTTTTGTTCTGGATACTTGCTGGGCTTTTTCAATCTAAAAACTCATATCCTTCCATGCGGGAAAAATATTTTTAATGTTCTTTGAATTCCCTTTCTTCTTTTTTCTCACCTTCTAAAACTCATTCAGATATTGAACTTCATATTTTAGAAGTCCATTTCAATCTCTGAACTTTTAAAACTGTGTCCTATTCTTTTATGTTATGTAATGCCTTCTATTTTCTCACTGACAATATATTTTCTCTCTTATGCCTTTTCTGTTTTCTTCTGAATTCCTTTGTGTGTTTGTGTCTCTGTGATAATTATCTGAAATGTCATGGTTCTTGAGCATATGCTTATATTTTATAGAGTACTGCTTGAGAAGCAGTCGTCTCCTGTCCTAAGGACCCCACTTGTCTGCTGGCATCGCCATAGTGTCAAGCTGATAGCTATGAAAGTGTAACAAGAGGCACTCAGTTACCTTTCCTGTTTTCTTTGGGGGATTAAACCTGTTGTATGTTTTCACCTCTCTGTTTACCCGCAGCATTATCTGAGGTCATACATTCCTGAGCTTTTCTGTAGTTCTTCAGCTAAAAAGCTCAATGCTCCTTATCTCCTTTATGGTTACAGAATTTTTAGCCTTTTTGTTCTTCTAAGACAGCTGGACGTGTTTTCTGGCTTCAAAGTATTGTTTCTTCCACTCTTTTTGGTTTGGGGGCTTTGTTTTTCTAGTACAGTACTGGGAATTGAACCAATGGCCTTCACACAGAGCTGCATCCTCAGCCCTTTTTTAATTTTGAGACAAGATCTTGCTGAATTGAATTGCCCTCCTACTTGAACCTCCCAGAGTGTGGGGATTACTGGCAGGCACCCCTTCTCCTATCACACACTCAAGTTTTTGAGAATTCTTCCCATGCTTTGTATTGTTATTTTGGGGAGCTTTGGGTAGAAGTGGCAGTGGTAGGGGTGCTTCTACCACAGTTAACTGAAGGTCTCCTTTGAATGTTAGAACCCCAAAATTTTAGTCAATTTAAAAAATCATTAAATGTCAGGTAGCAGATGAGTATTTTGGAAGAGTAAATCATTGCAGGAATATTATTTTAAAGATAGTATGATGGGACACGAAAAGGGTAATCAATTGGTTTAATACCCTTATGTCCTAAGGCTTTTTATTTTGCACTGTGTCTTACTAGGAAAATTGTTACTGTTGTTGTGTTATCTTTAATCTTTTTCCTTGTAGTATAAACTGTTATAAGTAATTTCAAGGTTATTTCCCAAAGAATGTTTATGCCTGGCTTGGTGTCAGGGTAAATCAATGATAATGCAGCTCAGTAGTAGAGCATTTGTAGCATGATAAAGGTGGTGGGTTCAAGTCCATGTACCACACAGTAAAACAGTGAGGCAGTCTACATAGCCCATTCTTCTCAGTAATCTTATTGGCACAAGTGACAAGTCAATTTTGATCTATAATTTTTTTTTTTTTTGTAGAGTGCTCTGATTTTGGTATCAAGTTTATACTAACTTCACAAATTGGATTTTCCTTATACTAGTCTCTGAAATACATGATAGATAAATCTGGGGAAGCTCTCTTTCATAGGTGGGAAGAAGACTTTTGGGTTTTTTTCCTTTTATTTATTTATTTGGTGCAGGATCTCATTATGGGGCCAGTAACATAGCTCAGTAGAATAAGTGAGGGCCTGAGTTCAATCCCCGGTTCCAAAAAAAAAAAAAAAAAAAAGCACGTGTACTCACTATGCAATTCGGACTCGTAGTGATCCTTCTGTCTCAGTCTCCACAGGCTGCAGTTACAGGTGTGCACCTCCATGCTCGGTTTCAGTGCCTGGCACTTCGCGCCTGGGGTTCCGGGACCGGTGCAGCATGTGGTACCAGGGATCAAACCCAGGTCCTTGTGCTTGCCAGCCCAGAAGAAGACATTTGAATTGTATGTTCCTTTTATTTCTTTCTTTCTTTAATTTATTTTGTCTTTTGAGACAGGGTTTCATTATGCAGTTCAGAATAGCTTAAATTCACTTTGTAGCACAGGCTCGCCTTAAACTCAAAAGTGTTCCTCCTGCCTCAGCCTCTCAAGTGCTGGGATTAGAGACATATACCAGCATGCCAGGCCTGTTTTTCCCTTTTTGAAACATGGTTTAAGTGAAGGCTAAAAATATAGCTTGGTGTATAAGAGTACTTGCTTACCACCTGCAAAGTCCTGGGTTTAATACCTGGTATCTCTTAAAACTGAAAACATACTGTAGGCCAAAAGTTTTCCCAGGTTTTCTACCTCTTACATCTATTTGGGTAGTAAGATATTTCTTTTTTTAAAGATATTTCTAAAGTTGTTTATATTGGCATAAAGTTGCTAATGGAATTCTTTTAAGACTAAGAACTAATGCATCTGTAGTTATGCTTTCCTTACATTTCTGGGTACCAGTGTGTACCACGCCGGTAGTCCCAGAATTCTGTGCAGCTAAGGCAGATGTGCTGTGAGTTCAAGCTCAGCCTTTGCAATTTAGCACTTTAGCAAAAACCCTATCTCATAATAAAAAAGATCTGGGGACATATCTCAGTGTGAAGGCCCAGGTTTCAAACACCAATACTACTAAATAAAGAAGTAAACATTATGTATTATCTA